GCTGCTAAATCACCCTCTTCCCCTCTCCTTCCAGCAGCGCAGTGTATCTGCCTTGCCGTAACCAGCAAGGATTCACATGTGGTTTTTAACTCATATCAATGCACATCAAGAAGTTGTCACTGTTTAAAATATGTTTACGAGTGGAAAAAAAATGAAATTTGAGTGGCTCCTATTGCAACCTGAACAGTTCATCTTTATAGCAGAAAAACTCGTAGCAATTAAGCAGTTTGTCTCTTACACTGAACCACACAACATTGTGTTCAATTATTAGGATCTGAATTACTTAACAAAGCACTTCTATTTACTATATTATTTATTCTCTTTTCACTTCAGAACAGAAAACTAAAGCAACTCCTATTCGAAAACAGCTGTGCTAAAAGGCTACTTCAAAAACTCATTACTGAAAGCTATGTACCAGATTTCGCTTTAAGTTTACTATTGTTCAATGTTTCCTCATAGACCAAAACTCACACTGTGCTACTACTGCCTCATAATGCTTGTCTGTTCCCAAAAGACTGTACATGTATCCAGAGAAACTTCATTCCCAACTATCCATCTCATTCTTTTTCGAGGATTAGCTGCAGTGTAATTGCTGTATCTCCAGTACTTTACACTTGGTTATTAAAATGCTAACAGCTACCAGTTTTCAGCAACTCCATCTTTTACTATCCAGGGAGGCTCTGCATGAGTATCGTAATTTGCCTTTCCAGTAAACTGAAAGGTGGCAAATGAAATTATAACACTAAAACGTTAGCTATACTACAATAGCTACTAAGTAGTAACTATGGGAATATCCAAGCCTACACCGGTAGTTGAGAAAATAACAAAAGAACTTAAAACATACTACTACAGATTAACTCAATACCTAGAAATAGCATTTGTCCTATAATAAAGCCTCTAATGCCTCCATTGAAAAATGACATTTCACTGGCACCAGTCTTGAACAGGCGTACAGTAAGACAGAGTGATTACTTACTGGTTTAGCATCACATCTAGGATGAAAGATGATCCGAAAGCATCAACTTGGAAGCTGGCTCGAGCAATGTGGGTAGACTGCAATATTGAAAAGACTAGAATTAGTATTCAGCCACAACAAAACACATCCTACAGGTTTGTGAATGCAAAAAGTGAATATATTTACTGAGTAACACTATGCCATTAACCAAATGAAATGGCACTGAAATGGACAAAGCAGTCTATGATAATGAATAAAAGTTCTGTTTTCTGAATCCACGAGGCTTATTCAAGAATTCCCATGAACACACCCTGTGACTGGGAGGCTCTGCCTTAGTAAACCCCCGTCTTAACCCATCCACACTGTAGGAAACGGCTCTTCTCTTTGCACTCCCATCCTGGGCCAAACCCTGAGCAAGGAAAGTGGAAAACCTCCCCTGGCTAATGTGTTACTCGTTCCTTAACCCGACTCTGAACACAGACCGGTGGAGAACAGCTGAGACATTACTGCTTTGGTCAGACCGGGATACACTCACAAATCGGACCAACATTACCTGAAAGAAACTGTTCCTTCAGACAGACTCTCATTTAAGCCCATATAGTGAGGTGATACCAATGGGCTAAAATCTGATTAGTCGCATTTTCTGTAAAGCTCTGACTCACCACCCTGTAACTCACCTTCTCCAAAAGGCCCCCAAAACTCCAACCCCCTGAGCAGTCACTAAAACCAAAGAAAAATGGGTGCTAGAGAAACAACTCTTTCCTTCTTTCTTTGTCTCTTTGCTGCATATTTTTTCCTGAATTAATTGCTTTCATTCAGTCCTATAGACTACAAACATGGGAATACTTTGTAACTCACGATCTGCCAGAAATAGAGTATTTATTCCAGTAGTAGTGGAAGAAAACACTCAGCTATTCAATGGAAATGCAACAGTTGTTTCTAGACCTGAAAACTCCCAAGAAACGGAACAGCCATGTTACTTAACTAATTAATAAGAAAAGCTACTTTCAGACATTTTGGAGCAGTTTCAACTTTGTTCTTATTTTCTTTCCATTGAAATCTGCACATTAAGATTTGAAGCATGTAGACAGAGGAATCTAAGAGGAAATGCTGAAGAACCACTTACAACTCTAAACTACACTTCTCTAAATAAATACAATACAGGATAGTACAACTGTAACAAATGATTTATTGAAAACTCTGGGAAACACAAGACAGGATGGGATAATGTGAATCATCAAATTCACTCTCTCTAAAACTACTGGCAGGCTTTCAATAGGCATTAAATCCAGAAGAGTTGAGAATACCAGTTTCCTTGGAAAAGAAGAACAACAAAGAAATGGAAAGTTGAGGGAATCATGACTTTTTTGTTTGTTGCATTTTCAGTTGCCCTACAGCAGAATTTTCTTTTTATGTCTACATATATAAGCATGAGTATTAATAAGTAAAAAAGACAACAGCCATGAATACATATATACAAAGAGTTGATTCCTTTAAAAAAAACAGAAGACAGCTTCTCTTATTACAGGATGCTCAGGCTTAGTATCCTCTCTAAAAATGCTCAACTGTGCCACTGCAGTGAATGTGCATACAAAACTGCATGACAAGAAATTCCAGATATTTACACTGCAGTTTCAAAGGATGCAGTATTAAATGGAGAACTTCTTCAAAGGCATCTCAGTAGATATAATTCACAGAGTCAGATATCCTTTCAGCTATCCCCATTACATCTAACCTGCTTTGTAACACAGGCCATGGGTCTTCACTACGTGGTTCTTGTAATTTCTGGATGATTTAAGAGCATCTCTTTTGTTTAAATGTACCATCTTTGACCAACTAACTGAATATAACATATAGTTTAACTTACCCGGGTAAATAACTTCAGTGATTAATTACCATCAATATTAAAAGCCTTATTTCTATCCAAAAAAGCCTAAAAAAAAGCAGCTAGTCCCAAATGACCCATGAGACAGCTGGCCGGTATCTGCAATGACGGACACCCACAGCACATACGGCCACCCACACGTAGGACCACCATTTAGCTGTTTCTGGCCTGCAGCAGCTAGCACAACCACAAATACAGCAAAAACAACCATCAACGAATTATCACGTTAGCATTGGCATTTCTTTTCCAACTCTCAGGCAGCAGAGTTTGATTTGAACGATTTTAAAATTCCATCTTCTGCTGCTGGATGGAAATTTTTAGGCTGCTGCTCATAAAGAGGATGTGACAGGCCAAGAACAGAGTAAGGTACTAGGGGCCAGTGCTAGTTTTGTCATTCCCTTGCTCTACTGCAGCACATTTGCTAACCTTAGCTAACCTTCATTTACCTACCTGCACCGCAACAACCACCTTCTGATCAAAGGAGTAATGACAGACCAGCTGGTCACTTTTCATCTTTACATTATTAAATGCAAAGAACATTCTACAGCATTTTATTATCTCTGTTTGTTAACGACATAGCTATATATGCCATCATTTAGATCTGTGCGCACAGTATAACCAAGTCTTCTATATGACCATATGCTGGTACTTCTGTAAGGAAAAATATAAAAAGCCTAACTTAAATTTCTAAATGTACATACACTAAATGTAGCATTTGTCATTAAAATGTATTCACCTCATTCACTGTGAGAGCACAAATGCCTAGGGTTTTTTGGTTTGGTTTTCAACTGCTAGGTATATTGCATCATATTGATTTGGTCTGGGAAATTTCCTCCCTTGAACGTGTCTCTAAGATAAACAACTACACGGCTAATGTATTTCTGAGGTGACCCCGGACCACAGTTATTCCCTGATAGAAGCTGTTAATGTGGATTTAAGGGAGATAATGCCTATTAATAAATTAAGATGAAAAACATTACCCAGATGTAACCACCCCCAAGACAAGTGGTGCAAACCCAGGAAGTTCACCATTAACTTGAAGCTCAAGTGCAATCAAGCATATCTCAAGTGTATCTCAAACCTATTGAGATACCAAGATGTACATTTTGGACAGCCAAACTCAGCCCTTTCCAGAAATTGCAGCCCTTCAAAGAATCCTTCCACCCTGATAGGCGGTTGTAATACTCTGCAACACTGCGTACAGTGGGCTGCTGCCAAAAACGGACAGTTCTGCCCCATCCTGGCCACGTGTTTCCATCTGCTCTTCCTTGTCAGCTCATGCGACTGCCCAGAAAGTCAGATCACCATCAGAAAATTGATCATGGAGCGGATCTGTTTTTTGTTGGACAAATAAGCTGATCCAAATAAACTATATAGTCACACCATGACTAGATGTGATGGCAAGAAGCTGGTGGGGACATGCAAGAGAGAATGAAGAGGAAGACAGGGCCCCGCTTTCAGTGACAGCTAACAGGTCTCATTCAGTGTAAAAAACCCCTGCACCTTAAGAGTCCTAAAGAATGTACTGGCTGGTACAACAATTCTTCTGAATATCTGGTTAAGAACCTCAAAATAAATAAATGGATTTTAAAAAGTCTTGGCTTTACATTGTTTTTAAGCACATCTGCCTGCTCAGAGAATAAGTAAAACGGCCAGCTGCGAAGGAAGCTTACACTCCTAGACATAGGTCAATAAAAGAACCCAAAGAAAGGAAATAAGTACTTTTATGCCATCTATACCATGTAATTCAAGCAGAAGTAACAAGACGGACACCTGCAAAGGCTCCTCTAAGCCACTGAAGCAAGACAATCAATTATGTCATTCAGTTCTCAAACCAAAGAACTTTTTCAGAAAATTCCGGGGCTTTTTCAACAACTGTCGACATGACACATCGACAGCTGATGACTGAGTCTTAAAAGGCGAGTTCTTCGAGACCAGGAGAGATGCACTCAGCGCAGAACATGAACAAGAGCCAGGAAAGGAGAACACAACTTAACGAAAGAGTGCAGTGCCCGTGCCTCTGAAACAACCAGAAAGTTCTGAAATTTTAATGTCATGAAACTGAGGAAGGAAAATATCGATAATGACTCTGAAATTAACGGCAGTACTTTCAGATGCAATTTCTAGTGGCACATAAAGTGTACTACCTTGCAAGCAAAAGAAAATACTAAGCATCCCATGCATCTAATGCAACTACAGGAGAGCTAGCTTTTGTCAAAGATTGCAAAGTTTAAGCATCCCAGTCAATGTCTGAAAGGAATCAACAGTAAATGGAGTGGAAAGGATTACTTCAAATCACTAAGCACAAAGATATTTTACCTAAAACAAATATTAAAAGCTTGAATCCTAAAAAACCAAAAGTGGTACGCAAACCTTCCTGCCATACTAAGAGGGATGTGATTCCAATTATTTTTAAATCAGCTGCTCCATGCTTCAGGGATCACTGTGGTAACAGAGGAGACGGGCAATCAGCACCAAGTACGACTCTTTATTATTATAACAAAACACAACAAAATAATGATGATTTCTGATCTAATCCCTCCCGTAGTCCTGCTGGGGATCAGCTTTCTCCAGGAACTGGCCTTGAAGAACCAGCATCTCCAAAGGGAATACATGAACATAAACTACAACCAACGTATATCATCGCAGATCAATGGCAAGCCTCATTGCACTGTACTGTAGGTAACATTAAATGCGTTTGGAAGATTTCCATTTCAAATACGTCAAATATTTTAACCACCAGTCAAACATTTACAAGCTATGCACTTCCTTAACAATCAAACTAACAAAAATTTTTAAAGGAAATATGTTAGAAATTTTCCTCACATTGTATATAATTAGTTGGATGTTGAAAGCAGCATAGTAACATGATGACTAATATTTTTCCCCATTAAAATAAGGAAAAAGAAAATTCAAAATATATTTTGATATAATGTGCAATTCCTCATAAAGCACGTTTCTTAGTTCTGAAGTATCCTGCATAAAGCACTTAGACGCTTTTTAATAAGTTTTGCTGAAAGAGATAACAATTTCTATCAAAACAGAAGAATGCCTTTCTAAAAAAAGATTGACGAGAAAATCCTATTTATATGCTTGCCCTTTGATGTAAGAAATTTATATTTACTACTATTTATAGCATTGTGGTTTCTAATTAAAAGATTCTGATCAAATTTGTAGACTCAAAAGAAAAACATCAAGAGAGAAAATAATACAGAATGATAGAGCAAGAGAGAACTTAAAAGCTATGCTTCAGAGCTTGTAAGAACAATGAGGTTTTAAAGCAGACTTTCTGGGAGTCAGTCACATTTACAAAATAACAGATTCCATAGATATTAAATTAATACCCTCACCTCCATTTAGTAGGAGAATAGAAACCTCAGCTTGTTAACAGTCCTTTAAGTGTATATGAAATGGCTGTTTCTTAAGTTCAGAAAGGACACAGGTAATCCATGGGGAATCAAAATAAATACATTAATGAAATTAAGTGAAAAATATATGAAACATTTTATGTAGATTTACCTAAAAAGAATTTTAACCGTGTTTTTGAAAATAACCATTGCACTTAAATTTATGCTACAGTAGAGGAATACAGTGCTAATTACCACATGTACACATTGTAAAAGAAAAATTTTCAGCCTCAGTTGTGTTGTAATAAATCCAGAGTTATGCAGTACCTTGTTGCCCTATGTAAAATAAGAAATTCATTCAAAAACTCTTCTACTTTACTGGGAAGAAAAAAAATAAAAACTTTGCTTAGAGACAAAATTCAGAAATAAGCCTAGGTCTAGTAATAAAAATAAATATCTCCAAACCAAAGAATTTTTTTTTTAAATAAATATAAATGCAACATGATTTCCTCAGGCCCTCTCTATTGCCATTTAAATATCTAATTTTGATCAAAAGTTCAGTGCTACTGAACTGGATTCGCATATCACAGCATATTAAAGAACTGCAAAATCTCTTTTTTACTTTCTCTAGCATCCTCAAAATATCTATAGCCACTCATTTACTACATCAATCATTATTTGTCTTATCCATTGCATATATCTAAATATCTATGGGGCTTTCTTTGGGGGGGGGAGGGGAAATAAAGTTATTTCATGAAAATACTGCAGAATAATATCATGGTTTGATGAAAAGGCTTTTACAGCTGCCTCTGTGGGGTACATTCAGTAAATAAGTCATTTATTCTGAGGAAAAGCTAGAAATAAGAAAAGATTTTAAGAGGTCTGTGTTCATTTTTGAATCCTGGATCACATATCTGTTCTCTGTGCCAAACGAGGGTGGGGCAGGGGGATTGTTCAACACCATCAGCTGCAGCGCAGTACCATCGCCCAGTTCACTTTGGTGGGGTTTTTGCCAGCTCTCAACAGATGAAAATCTTGACAAAGTTGTAAACATGACCTAAAATAGCTTTTTGCCGAATAAACATAGTATCAATGAAATTAGAGTCAGAAGCAAGGACTGCTTGTACCTCTAAAATGCCAGTAATTATTCTCAATAGTAAAAAAAAAATAACTCTCTCTTATTATTTATTTGCGGTTTTGAAATCAGAGGCTGTTTGAACTCGCTCAATACAGTAAAGGAAAAAGGGTCCCCAGAAACACGGATCCGATACTGCAGATCCAATCCCTGGGTAGCAGCAGGGATCTTTATGAGGTCCTACAGAGGTGTGATGCAGACCTCTGTTGGACTCGGCCGTATCTGCTCATGCATCTCACCCTAGACCTCCACCCGGCATTCCAGGACCGTGGGCATCTTTGAACAGTTACAACAAACTAAGAAAAAAAAAAATTCTTATTTTCCCCTGAAAACTTCTCTTCTTGTTCTCCTTCCTCGCCTCCACATCATCGTTCTCAAAAATTCACCCAAGGTTAAATGATGATGCAATGAAGACAGGAAAACTATCGGGCTGTCACTGCTAGCAAATTTAGCATGAACTACCATTTGATCTCACAGATCTAAAAGGACAAATTTAAGTAACTGAAGGGGCAAGATGCTGCTTCCCAAGAGGCAATCTAACACGTTTCCAGCACCAGAAAAACCCCGTTGCACCAAATCTTCTACTCGCTGTGCTTTTATGTATAGAGGATGACGTTAATTTGACTTTAAGAAAATTTTAGTTATAACTTTTGATTTCCTATGAGACTAATTACTGTAACTTCTCTTGTGAAAATCTTCATATCCCAGTGAGAGGAAGAATTGCAAGAACTTTTGGGAAGCCATACTCTTTTTTTTTTTTTTTCTCCCCTTTTTCTCAAAGGGAAGCAGGAAAGATTCATGTATAAAAGGTCACATCTAACTAATGTGCAAGAGGTCTTAAATATATCACTATTGAGGCAAAAACAGAAAAATTGGTGACTGCTCAACCTCACATTTTTAAAATGTGTTTGACAAGGATTTTCATCAAGGACTAATGGCTAGGAAAAATATGATAAAATAGTTATTATAAGGTTGATTAATAAGTTCTGGGTTACAAATAGGAAACAAAGGAAAGCCATGAATGAAAACTT